TTTCTTCTTCATGGTCAGATTTGTCTTCAATTTGCTCATAAGAAGCATGGTGAGTCAGGCTCCTTTCTGCCCTGAGTATAGTGGGCCAGAAAAGGCCCCTCCTTCAAAGTTCTCCAGGGTTCTGCCTGCAGGATCCCCTTTCTCACAAGGCTCTTGACCTCTGCTTGCTATAGACTTAGCCTGATGTTTTTCCCCATTGATGCTACACTCAGTGGTTACTCCTATGCTGGTCAATACAGGCTTCAGTCACCACTTGGGCTGGATTTTGCCAAGGACCTTTGACCTCAAGCTTGGCTGGGTCAATGAGACCCAGTGGACCAATCAGAAATGCCCTGAGGCTGATCCCTCTTCTAGGCTAGAAATTAATTGGTACCCTGTTGGACCTGGGTCAGCCTCAGACACTATTTCTGGAGTGCTGTGATGGACCAGACTTAAATGGCCTAAAGCTACATATTCATTCTCTCCCCTCTCTCTCTCTCTCTCTCTCTCTCTCTCTCTCTCTCTCTCTCTCTTGAACTGAGTATATGCAGCCAACTACAGGTTTATGGAAGGCTTTGGCCTCTGCAGGGAATTTGGGATCCTCTCAGAACACCACCTACAGCCATAGGATTTGGAAAATACTAGGCTTGGGTGCTCTGAAGCTCAGATATGGAATGCTGACATTATACAGATGGCTTTAAGTGGGATTGCTCTAACTGGTTTATCTCAAGAACTCTATAGAACTCTGGGTTACCCCTATGTGGATTTCTGGAATGGATAAAAAGCCTAGAAGTAATTCTTTATGTGATCTGGTAGAGTAGAGATCACCTCTATGACGAGACGATGAGAAGGATCTGGGATTTTCTGTGTCCTAATATGCAACCAGGGGCGTAAGGTATCTTCAGGGAATACTAGTACCATAAGTGTGAGGGGTGCTTTCCACCTTTGGTGTCCACCTGTTCCACCTAACTTTCATCTGTGGCTGCAAGGACCTACAGCATGCATAGAAGCCACACCCCAGTAAACTAAGAGGTCTCAAATCCATCAGTGAGTTACGGGGGCATCTACCCAAGCATGTGAACACTTCCACTGGTGGAATAGGCAGATGGAACAATTTTTTTTTTCCAATGGCCACGAAGGCAGCTAAAGCAGGTGCTGTGGAGTACTTAGAGCTTGGTTAGACATCGAAGACACCAAGGTCATCCACTGCATCTTGAGCCATTACCAGTTGTCTTGACTCTGTCCTGCCCCTGGACTGTGATGACACTGGAGGAGAGAGTGAGGCTGACATCATACAATTCTGCCTCACTTAAATCCAATTTATGCATGACTCAATGGCATCACTCATGCCATTTTACCATGTTTACCTATCTCAAAGCCATGCGGCAGCAGGCAAATGGTGAAGCAGCAGGTACAGATACACTGGGAACTGTAGGCAAAACCCTGCACACAGGCAGCCCAGGCCATAGGGTCATCATCTCACTGGAAGCAGCAGTGGGATTTGGCAGCTCCCAGAATGACTGAGAAGTCTTTTAAGGATTGCACTGCTCACCTCCTAGTGTGAGGAAGGGACAAAAATAGGTGACTCTGACTGATCATAGACTTATCCTCTCCAAGTTAAATATTCACATTCAACAAAAGCAGGAGCCCCAAAGCAAAATGACTATCAAAAGAATTCATGTCAGTAGATCAGAGCTCTTCTCTGAACAGAAATAGTTTGTTGCTAACTTGGAGGGAAAGTTGAGCCAACAAACAGCTGGCAACAGTGCAGCAGAAAAGGAGTGGGTAGCTTTCAGGGATTTGGTGTATAGCACCTCATTTGATCATAAACATTAAGACTGGTTTGATGGAAATGAGGAAATTCACTAGCTGCTAAATGAAAACACAAGAATTCCACGGGGTTTACCAGTAGGATAGTTCATCCATCTCTAAGATGTCAGTATTTAATTCCATCAAAAGTATAAGCAAAACTTAGAGAGATGCAGAATTCTTGGCTCAGTGAGAAGGCAGATGAAATTCAGTCTTATGCTGATAGTAACAATTGAAAGCACTGTTATGATGTCCTAAAGGTTATTTATGGGCCAAAGACCTACAGTGTATCTTAACTTCTTAGTGCTGAGGGAGCCACATTGATTAGTGATAAGGATATGGTCCTAGAAAGATGGGCTGAACTCTTCCATAGTGTTTTCAACAGACTGTCATCAACGAAGCCACTGACCATTTACCTCCAGTTGAAGTCAATCCCTCCCTAGTTGAAGTTCCAGTTGAAGAAGAGGTTTTGAATACCATCAGGCTCCTTTCATGTGGCAAAGCACCTGGTACTGATTCTATTCCATCTGAGATTTACAAAGTGTGTGTGTGTTGGGAGGGTCCTTTGCTCATACAAAAGTTGACTGCAATTTTATGGGTTATATGGCAAGAGGCGGTTATCCTCCAGGAGTTCAAGGATGCCTCCATTGTGGATCTCTATAAAGGTAAAGGAAATAGATTGTTTTGTCACCATCACGGGGGATCTCTCTCTTAGTCATTGCCAGCAAGATTCTTGCCAGAATCCTCTTTAATAAGCTGATCCTTCTCCTGGAAGATGGTCATGTACCTGAGAGCCAGTGGGGCTTCAGAAAGGGCCAAGGAACAGTTGATATGGTGCTTGCTGCCTGACAACTCCAGCAGAAATGCCAGGAACAGAACAGAAATCTGTATACAACATTCATAGATCTGACCAAGGTCTTTGATATTGTCAGTCATGAGGGTTTATGGAAAATTATGTCAAAATTTGATTGCCTGGAGAAGTTCATCAGAATTGTACATCAATTTCATGATAACATGCTTGCCCGGGTTATGGATAATGGACAATGTTCTTGTGGTTTCCCAGAGTCACCAATGGATTGAAACAAGGCTGTGTGCTTGCTCTCATGCTTTTTTTATTTGAAGACAGGTTTTATTTAGTTAGTAGCCTGCATTTCATTTTTTTAAATTTATTTATTTATTTTTAGTTTTCAACATTCACTTCCATAAGATTTTGAGTTCCAAATTTTCTTCTCATCTCTCCCCTCCCCCTCAGCCCAAGACAGTGTGAAATTTGATATAGGCTCTACACATACATTCATATTGAACTTATTTTCACATTAGTCATGTTGTAAAGAAGAATTAGAACCAATGGGAGAACACATGAGAAAGAATAAACAAAAAAGAGAGTAAATAATATGCATTCAGAGTTCATAGTTCTTTTTTCTGGATGTGGACAGCATTTTCCATCATCAGTCATTTGGAGTTGTCTTGGATCATTGCATTGCTAAGAAGAGATGAGTCTATGAAAGTTAGTCATCATACAATGTGGCTGTTACTGTGTACAACATTCTCCTGGTTCTGCTCACTTCACTCAACATCACTTCATATATGTCTTTCCAGGTTTTCCTGAACTCTGCCTGCTCATCATTTCTTATAGCACAACAGTATTCCATTACAACCATATACCACAACTTGTTCAGCCATTCCCCAACTGATGGGCATCCCCTCAATTTCCAATTCTTGGCCACCACAAAAAGATCTGCTATGAATATTTTTATACATGTGGGTTCTTTTCCCATTTGTATGATCTCTTTGGGATATAGACCTAGAAGTGGTGTTGCTGGGTCAAAGGGTATGCACAAGTTTCATAGCATAGTTCCAAATTTGGGCATAGTTCCAAATTGCTCTCCAGAATGGCTGGATCAGTTCACAACTCCACCAACAATGTATTAGTGTTCCAATTTTCCACACCTTCTCCAGCATTTCCCACATTTTCTCCAGCATTTATCATTTTCCTGTTTTGTCATGTTGGCCAATTTGATAGGTGTGATGTGGTACCTCAGAGTTGTTTTGGTTTGCATTTCTCTAATCAATAATGATTTAGAGCATTTTTTCATATGCCTATAGATAGCTTTAATTTCTTTATCTGAAAACTGCCTCCCATGCTTTTTAGTATGATATTTTTCTGCTATGTTATCAAATGCCTTCAATGAGGATGAACACGGCATCAAGGTCAGCTACTGCACTGATGGTAAATTCTCCAACTTGAAAAGGCTACAAGCCAAGACCAAAGTGGATGGAGTGTTGATGCATGATTTTCTGTTTGCTCTGATTGTTTACTCAATGCAGCCTCTGAAGCTGAAATACAACAAAGTATGCATTGATTCTCTGCTGCTTGTACTCATTTTTGCCTAACAATTAACACCAAAAAAAAAAAAACCACAGATGCTCCAAGAGCCACCACCACACCACCCATACGTAGAACATTAGTTACAGCAAATGGAGAAGTTCTGAATGTTGTGGATAAGTTCACTTACCTTGGTAGTATACTTTCCAGGGATGTACACATTGAAAATGAGGTTGATGCACACATTGCCAACCAAACTGAAGGTCCACAGAGCCATTGTGCTGACCTTGTTGCTGTATGCCTGTGAAACCTGGACAGTATACCAGCACCATGCCAGAAAATTGAATTGCTTCCATTTGAATTTTCTTAGGAAGATTCTGAAGATCACTTGGCAGGATAAGACATTGGGGTCCTTTCTTGAACTAAACTGCCAAGGATTCAAATTCACATTCTACTGCACAGTGCATAACTCTGATGGGCTGGCCACATTATTTGAATGCAAAACATACACTTGCCAAAAAGACTGTTTTATGGAAAACTCACATGGGGCAAGAGTTCATATAGTGGTCAGAAGCAGCAATACAGAGACACTCTCAAGGCTTCTCTTAAGAACTTTGGAATTGATTATGTGACATGAGAGACACTGGCACAGGACCACCCAGCATAGCATGCCCTCATCAGAGAAGGTACTGTACTCTATGAGGAAATCAGAACTGAAGTAAAGCAGGAATTATACTTTTTTTTTGTATTTATATCCCTAGTACTTAGCACAATGCCTTGCATGTAGTAAATTTGTAATAAACACTTTTTTCATTCATTTATTGATTCAGTCACTGTGCACTACTAGCATTATATAAATATTCAAAATTTAAAGCCATAAACTTACCGGCAACCGTTTCATCAATTATCATACCAATTATTGCTACATCATTAGCACATGGATTTCTTGCAATCTTGAGACCTAACAAATGCTTAACCATTTTTCGTATGGTAGAAGGGTGCACACTTATCCCAATTTGCCAATGAAGAATAGGCTCTGTGGAATAAATAAATTTATGTATTAAAATTTATATCCATATTTATCAAAATTAAACTTTCTGTCACTTACTTTGGGGGCATCATGCTGAGAGAAATGATTACTAATAGCCAATGATGTGGGGAGATTAAGGGTTCCCATATTTTTGTAAAGTGCTCATTTTTAAGCTCAATCTCTGAAAGTTGAATTAACTTTCTCTTTGGTCATGGTCAGACCCCACCCAACCTTACAAGGAATCTCCAAACTAAGATAAATTCCTACCCATTCTGTTCCACTCAAGCAAGTTTGGGTAGAGGTAGATCCTTTATCTAGATTGCCCAGTGCTGGGGGTGGTCTGGTGTAGAAATAATCTCTTTGTCCAAGAGTGACATGATGTCACTCTCTCAGCCTTTCATTGGAGTGAGCCCACTTCTCATTGTAATATTCATTCTCTCATTAATTGTTAATCAATCAAGTTTGACAGATTTGCCGGTCAGATTGCCACCTTCTGGAACAACCACTTTTCCAAAGGCATATAAGCCCTAAGCCCACCGCCATGATTGTCTTTGGCTGTCAAGAGCACCACTGGCCTTTTTTATTAATAAAATGCTAGCATTATTAATAAAATGACTAATGACACAGAAATTGTGTCTCTAATTATGTCTCTCAAACTTTTTAAATGTCACACTAAGTGAGTATGGGATATTACTATACGGATGTGTTCGGCATCTCAAACTCAGCATGTTCTATTTAAGCTTCCTAAATCTGCTTCCCATTCTGACTCTATTATTTTTTGCTGGTGGTATCTTTATGCAGTCTACCACTCTAAGGTTAGCACAGTGCCTGGAATATTGTAGGCCTTTAATAAATATTCATTGTGGATTGATTGATTGATTGATTGATTGATTACTCACTCATCCCTCATACTTAGCAGTGCCTAGATCCTGTTCATTTCACCTCCACAACATTTCACGTTAGCCCTCTTCTCTCCTGCCACCACCACCACCCTAATTCAGGGCTAACACCTGACTGAACTATTGTAATAATTGCAAGCAAATGACACATGTCCTCTGATATATCCTCTCTCTCTTCCCTTCTTCCCCGACTAAGAAGGAAACAATCCCATTAACTGCTTTACTCCTCTGATTTTTGTCTTACCTTCTTTCTCTCATAAAGTATTAAAAGCAAAAGCAGATTTCTGCTGTCAGGAGTGAGAGCACCGTCTGCTTCATATCCAAATTATTGTCTTCCTCTTTCCTTACTGTCCTACTGCCAACTTTTATTCCCCTTTATATGAAATATATATCTATGTACAAACACACACACACACACTTATGTACAATTATGTATACGTATATATGTGTACATATATATACACATACATGATTACATTTTATTTATATACACATATATACACATATATATACATATATACGTGTGTGTATATATATATGTGTATATATATATACATATATATGTATATACATATATATATATACATAAACACACACATATGTGGAGTGCTAATCTTTGTTGGGTGATTAATGCCAAGACAACCAGAATTTCAGGGAAAGACTTGGATCTTTGTGAAGAGTGAGAAACATCTCCACTTCAACCTGAGACATAGAGAGGGGGGACAAGAAAGGGTAGTGAATCTATGTGAAAGTCACCAATGCCATGTAGGTGCATTGAGAACATAATACTCTTCGGCCAGTACAAATTTCCATAAACAGCAGAGTTGATATAAAGAAAGAGATTGATAATATAAGTTTCGATTGACCCCTAGACCTAAAAGAATTCAGCCCTTGAGACAAAGGTTAGCCAAGACTCAGGAAAGGGAATCTGTGTTATCATATATATTTGCATGCAAGTCCCGTTCCGATAAGTCTTATAAGGTATGTCTTATACATGGGTACTATACAAAGTATCTTTTACCTGTGTTTACATGTGGTTGTTCAGGTGATTCAGTCATGTCTGACTCTTTATGACCCCATTTTTGTTCTTCTTGGTGAAGTTACTGGAGGGGTTTGCCATCTCCTTCTCCAGCTTATGTTACAGGTGAGGAAACGGAAGTAAACTGGGTGAAGTGATTTGCCCAGTGTCACACAGCTAGTAAGTGTCTAAGTCCAGATTTGAATTCAAGAAGATGAGTTCCTGAGTCTAGGCCTGGTATTCTTTACACTTCACCACCTAGCTGCCATCAATTACAAGTAGAGCTCCACCTATTAAAGCTTCCACCAGTGCACGATCCCCTAGTAAAACCCTATGCCAGTGGATATCTCCCTTACTTCCTCTCATATTCTTTAAATGTGTGGCTATGACTCTGTTAAAATGAACATGTGGGCACTCTCTCTAGGTTCTTCTTTGCAGGTGGGTACCCCCAAACAACTTTCTATGCACACATGCCAAAAAATCTTAACGCATCTAAACATGATATATAAACAAATCATTTGTGTAGTCTTGGGCGAACCCTTCCCGTATCTAGCCTAAAGTGTGGAACTGGTCCAGATGACCTCTAAGTTTCTTTCCAGCTTTCACATTCTATGAGCCTACAAGGTTTGGTTTTGTTGTTGTTGTTGTTTTGCATTCAGAGGAAAGGACCTGATTTTTCACCACACCACACTGACGTAAGGACAAACAACATTTCAACTTGTTTTTAGTCACTCACTAGTGAGAATTTACAGTATTTCTTTTGTCTTACAGCATTTACCTCGGACAAGGTCCAGTAGTGTTCCTTCAGTCACGTAAGTTTCTAATCCCTCTTGAAGTGTAATAGTTACAAACCATTCTTCTACTGGATTAATATCTGTTGGCAAAGAAAAGGCAGAGCATCATTAAACAGAAAGAGAATCTGGGAACAGTTCTTTTTATATTACATCAATAACTGCAACAAATAGAACTGTAGGTAGTTTGGGAAATTACCATTGTATAAGAGCTTTAGGCCTGTCCTATCTACTTATATTTCTAAAGAATATATTGCATATTGCTGTTTATACTACGAGTAGTCAAGAGATAGTATTGCCTTAAGCAACTATGACAAGCTTTCTTTCCCTTAAGCAATTTTCTGGTTCAATTTGCTATAGTCACTTAACTATTAACATGTAATCTTTTTTTCTCAACACATTTCCAAATCCTCCACTCATCTACTGTATCTCATCGATTCAACTCCATTTTATATACCTTTATGTGTACCATAACTTTTTACCTCCCATTCCCCATTAGCTTTGAACCATCTTCACTTGATTTTTCTATATTCTCAAAAGATTATAACTTGTTCAACTATATTGCAATGAGTATTTATTGAATGCATACATTGTGCCAGGCACTGTGCTTAGATCTGGAAATAGAAGGACAAAAAATTAGAGCAATAGTACCTGTCCTTAAAGAGCTTACATTATATTGGAGGAGACAATATGTGTATAAGTAAGTTCATACAGAATAAATACATGGCAGCTTTGGAGAGTACTAAGCAACTAGGAGTCGCTACTAGGACTAGCAACCAGTCTTCAGGAAGATAATGGAGCTTAAGCAGAGCTTAAGCTCCCAAAGATGAGAGATGAAGTGCTATGTGTGAGGAATAGTTATATGTATATAGTTATAAGTATAACCATTTGTATATATGTATATGTGTGTATATATATATATATATATATGTACACACACACACACACACACACACACACACACACACACACACAGAATGTAACATAAATCCCTGAATTCTGTGGTCTGTACAAATTGGCTTTGCTATTCCTCACACAATGATGATGGAAAAAAGTTTTGAAGCTTGTGAGCATCTTTATGTGCTAAATAGAGGAGATCACATTTTATATTAGAAGCAATAGAGAGCCCCTAGAGTTTGTTGAGGAAGAAAGTGACATGGCCAGACTTTCATTTGAGGAAAAACACTTTGACTGCTAAGTGGAGAAAGAATTGGAGTAGAAAAAGACTTGTGGCAGGGAAGCTATCACAATACTTTGGGCTAGAGGTAATGACAGACTTAATCAAGATGGTAGTTGTGTGGACAGTACGAAGGGCAATCCAAGAGGTGTTGTGGAGGTTAAAAGGCTAGAATTTGGCCACTAATTGTAAATGTGAAATGATGGAGAATGAGTTAAGAATAATGTCAAGTACACAACTCCAAGAGACTGGAAGGAGAATGGTCCTCAATAGGAATAGAAAGTTTGGCAGAGGAATAGGTTATGGTAAATGATAAGTTCTGTTGTGAAATTAATATGAGACATCCATTTTAAAATATCCACAAGGTAATCAGTGAAGCAAGATTGGAGCTCAAGTGAGAAACTTGGGCTGAATATATAAATCTGGCGGTCACTTTCAAAGAGATGATAATTAAATCTAGGGGAACTTATAAGGCTGCTGAATGAAAGAATGAAAAGAGATGACAACCCACTACAATTTTTCATGATATGCTCACAATTAGAGAAATGATGATTCAACAAGGGAGGCTGAGAAAAAAAAAAGAGGGAAGAGGAAAGGCCACATGTGGCTCTCTAGGTCCTCAAGTGCAGCCCTTTGACAGAAACCAAACTTCACAGAATGAATCCCCTTCATAAAAGGATTTGTTCTGTAAAACTTAGACTCAGTCAAAAGGCCAAACCCAAGGAATTAGAAGAACACATAAGGCCTCAAGCCTGCCAGTTCCCCAACCCTGCCGAAGATGATGGGGGTTGGTCAACAATGTCGAATGCTGCAGAGGGTTCAAGAAAGATGAGGATTGAGAAAAGACCATCCAATTTGGCAATTATGAATTTGGTAACTTTGGAGAGAGCAGTTTAAGTTGAGTTATGAAATAAGAAGCCTGATTGCAAAGGAATGATGACTAAGAGGACAAGAAGTGGAAGAAGCAAATGTAGACAGGATTTTTCCCCCTTGGACTTTAGCAGAAAGGAGGAGACAAGATAAAGAACAATAATTTACTGGAATGATAGTGATGGTTGTTAGTTAGTTTGTTTGTTTTTAAAGGATAAGATAGGCTTGGCCGTACCTGAATGCAGTAGAGAAGGAACTAGTAGATAGGGAGAGATTCAAGATGGAAAGGAAGTATTGGTAATCTGCCAGAAAAAGACTACAGGATCATAGTATGCGAGCTCCAAGTTCCCTTCGACACCATCTAGTCTAATCCACTTTTGTAGCTGAAGAGTTGAGACCCAGAAAGTTCAACAGTTGAGCCAAAGTCACAGAGGTAGTAAGTGGCAGGGTTAAGATTTGAGCCTAGGTCCTTAGACTTCATATCTAACACACTTGAAATCTGTTGTACTATGTTGACTCTATAGAAGGAGATTGGATCAAGGATATATATATATATATATATATACACACACACATATACATATATATATATATTAACACACATATTCATGTGTTATATATATAAGGTACATGTGAATAATGTAATGTATATTAATATATGATTCTGTCTACGTTACATATATATCCTGATGAAGCAACCTATGGGGCTGTCCAACCAATTGCATATCATAGTCCAGATTATAAGAAATTTTTTATTCAATTTGTTTTTTCCTCTGTTGATTATTAGGCTGACCTATTTTGAGTGGTTTTAAGTCTTATTCAGGAAACTGTTCTGTAGTATTTTCAGGCTTGATGTCATTAATAACAATATAATAACGATAATGACTAATGTTTATATATAGTACTTAAAGGCTTGCAAAGCACTTTACAAATATCTCATTTTATCCTCACAGCAACCCTGGGAGGGAGATGAAATTATTATCCCCATTTTACACATGAGTAAACTGAGGCAGGCCAAGGTTAAGTGGCTTGTCCAGGGTCACACAGTTAATAAACATCTGAGTGGATTTGAGTTGTGGTCTTCCTGACTCCAGGGCTGGCACTCTATACAGTGCCACCTTAGAGCAGGAACACTAGTAGGATGTTACCCTCTTTAGGGAATCCTCCTTCTATTTTATTTCCATGTTAGCAATCCTCTATAACAGTGACAAATACCTTTTCCAAGAATATCTCATTGTTTTTGCCTCATCAAAGGGTCACTGAACAAAGTTATCTTTTATTACCTCTACCAAGGAATCTTGCATGAGATTAGAAGCCTTCAACTATGCCAGCTCAACATCCAGTGTTTATTTCAAATGATCGATATCATCATCATCATTATCAAGATAATTAACCCACAGGTAAAAAGAACCACCACAGTACATTGTTACCTTCATTAACTGTAATTGACTTTCTGGGAATTTCAATTGACCAAGTAGACTCTTCTCTTTCCTTTCAAAACAAAGAAAGCAGATAATGTTTTATAACATCATAAAAAAAAGTTAATTTGACATCTTCCACTATCAAAATTTTAAAGAAAATTTAGATAAGTAAATTCATAAGCATTATTTCTTATAGCCTCACTTTTTCCTCTGAATCATAGTATTAACTCTATCTATCTAATGAAAAGAAAAATGGAAAAATATAAGTCCACAAATAAGTTAACTGAAAACTCATCCCCCAAAGTAATTAATATATCATGGTTTGATACTAAGATAACAGTAATTTACATTTATATTATAGTTTAATTCTACAATGGCCTTATAAGATTAGTAATTAAAGTATTATTACCTCCATTTTACAGATGAGCAGTATAAGATTCTAAAAAAAGTTAATTGGCTTTCTAGTAACACCGCATAGCTGGGAAGTGTGGGAGTTAAATTTTCAAGCCCAGTTTGTACTGACTCTAAGTATAACACCATATCACATTGTCCTTGTGTATGTTTGATTCATACATAAAATCCAGTATTTACCGTCATGATTAGCTAAAAGACTAATACAAGTACTATTGTCATTAGTGCCAAAAAGATCTATTTCCAGCACAGAAATGGACAATTTGTGTCTGGGCCCATATTGCCTAACACAATGTCTTCCATAAAGAAGACACAATAAGTGTTGAAAGAATAAATGAATGAACTGAACAGAACAGGAATCTTTTCAATAACTAGGAAAACAGCTATGACTAAGCTCCCAGACACAATCATGGGAACAGGAGATAAAGTTCCTTACCAAATGAATACATTTTTGGACCTCACAAATGTTTGTTTTTTCTATGTAAGAACAAACTATCAGCCCAACATTAGGCTAATTTATCAGATTTTTGTTCCATAACTGTTGTAACTCTGATTTCCCTTATTCAGAATAATAATCTCAAAAATAATTGTGGTTTAGACATTTATCTGTAACATGCTCAGGAAAATCTCATTCTTATGTTATGTTGCCTCAGTTTTTATGCCCCAAAAGGTAGTGGTGTTTGTTATCAGGATGCTGCTCATTAAGTTAAATGAATAAACAGACAACACCTCAAAATGGGTGTTTTGTGCTTTTTGCAAAATTATTTAAGAAATAAACACAATTGTACCACAACCACAGAAGCGTCATGATTGATATTAAGGTAAATTTACATGTCAATGTTCTGAGCATGTTCAATTTATTAGTAAGGCTAGCAGTTACCAATATAAGGGGTCTTCAGCTTCTCAGCAAGCCAAAAGACCCCCAGGTGGAGTGTACAAGACTTCTTATACTTTAGGAAAAGTGGATAGAAATAAAATAGCACTTAGGCAAGATATCAGATAAACCCATCTGATTTCTATTGCAGGAAGGGATGAGATTTTATCTCTTATTTCTAGGGAAAGCTGATTGATTGTGTACCTGCATCCTTACCAGGACAGCTAGAGGTGCAGAGATAACAAGTTTTCTTGATATAAAGATAGAACAGTGACTTTAGAGGAAGCCAAATTATGAATATAATTCTGAGATGATGAAATCTGACAGGCAGTTAAATAAAATATCAGCAGAGATATGGAATGACATCAATCGCAAAATAGAATCAATTGATTTTCTAAATCCTCCCCTACTTCGATCAATGGGAGACATGTCTTCCATGGATCACTTATCTATAAGCTAATTCTATAAGATTTTTAACATAGTCATTATCAGTAGTGCATATTACCATAAGCTTTTCTGGCATAATTTTGGAATAGGTTTTAATATAGCAACTAATACAAAGTCCAAAGGTGCATTTACCAAGGGTGGCTAAAAGGCCATTTCCAAATGAACCAAGAAGAAGGATTCCATCAGGGATCACCTGGAATGGGTAATTATGTTTCTGATACAATTTGTTGAATTCTAACTGTAACTATTTCCCCCAGGTTGGTTAACATGAGAACAACAAAATTGATTAATCGTAGCACAAGTCCTTAACCAAGCTGCAGCAAGAATATCTAAAACCATGCAGTTTTGCAAAGGCATTTGAGCTACAGAATCTACCTCAATCTGTAGGGAGAAGATGGACTCACTTATGGCCTGAGCCAACTTTTCGATTTCAAGTGAGAGATTCAAACACTAGAAGGACTCACCAAGGACTAATTTGAAAGGGAGGACTTGTGTACCCCCCAGGTAACCAAGATAACTCAGCAAACATGAACACCATAAAACAAAAAATCAAAGTAATACAAAAATGACCATCAATATTAACTAACATCAAATCTCCTTGTATCCTAGTAATCCACTCCCAATATCCATTTAATCAGCACATTTCATCTTGGATCCTACATGTAGTTATCTGGTTTCTGGAAACATCTTCTCTTGGACATTTTAGAATAGATTTCATTTTTAGGGTGGCTCTGAAGAGGAGGCTCCCCCTAAATTTGATTCTTTGGTTCTAAGTTACTTACAGAGATTATTCAATACAATTTAGTACAACCTTCTAAATTTAATTTTCCAATAACTAGCTCATATGATCAAAACTAGATGAAAACTCATGCTTCTGATCTTTATTAACAATAATGCTATAAAAACAGCATCAAATCAGAAACCCATAATTCACTTAAAACTTCAGAGAATTTCAGTTGTTAAATAAACCCTATAAGTCATACGGAACTGCTATCAACAGGCTAAAGGAAGAATTTTAAAAAGAATTTATGAGGGTCTGACTTGTAAAACGGGTCCTTCTGTTTCTTAAAATTATCAACAGATGGGAAAATATTTTCACCATCTTCATAATTATCTATGCAATTTAACATATAAAATCCTTAATTCAATTTTTAAAACTTATTATTCCATTAGAAACATTTGGAAGCCCATTATATACATTCCAGTTCTTAGAGAAAACAGTCTGTTCCTGTTTTCTCAAAGTTATATAGAGAGATGGACAATGGACAATAGAGGTATCCTTGAACTCCTGCTACTCCATTTGAATTTTAAAAAAAAATTGACATCTTTGTCTTATAAAATTTTTTGCATCTTTGTCTTAATTCTCCCTTTAGGAGGATGTTATCCCCATATGTTCTGAAAGAATAAGATATTTCAAGGACCTGATCTTAATCACAAATATATAATTATTAGAAAGCCCAAAAATGTATTTACTTAGTTGTTTAGGATATGGATTTGACTATCAATTCAGTTTGAAAACAGTAAGATCATTCATACTTGCATCCTATTATAGTAGTGCAGAGATGCTGGAGTATTACAGCGACAAGATTCATTATATTAAAAAAAATTACAACTTTATCTGTCATGGTTAGAGAGAATTGTTACAAAACAAAAAAGCAGGGATATGGTTGTAATGGCATCAGGACTGGTCCTCCAAGCCTAAGGGTACAAAATGGTTCAGCAAAGGTATAATAAAATAAGGTATTCTTAGTTCTCTTTGAATTCAGAAAAGTCGTAGTTACAATTTGGAACAGTCAATCATACAGAAAAGTTCCACAGTGTTCACAAAGCATCATAGCCAGGCTTAGGACTAACCAGGAGGAAAACATTCCTGTTCAAAAGGGAACTAATACAATGGGGAAACTGAGTCAAGGTGATCTTACCTTTGACTATGCCAAGGTCAGCCCTCAACTTTCCCAGACATAGACATTCACTTATATTAGTTCTTTAGACTGCAGCACAAGGAATTTCCCTTGAGTAGTGGATTTCTGACAATGATAATTCAGACATTTATACTTGAATTCAAAAACTCAAAAATTATCAAATTATAATCCCAAGAGATTTTTCCCTCAAATAGCAAGTTTCATTAATTGTAGTTTAGGGCTAAAAGCAGTTATTATTTCTCTCATGTTGTTGCAAAAAGAGTTAACAATAAAATTTTTAACAGGCTTTTCAAAAAAAGATTCCCTCAACACCCTTTTCTTCTTTTTCATCTTCTCAAGCTTAGACTCACCCTGGTTTAAAAAACAAGAAAACAATCCCATTCTGGAATTCCATGCAGGTAATGAAAATATCCACTCAAAAGAAAAAAAAACATAAAAACACTGGCTAATTACTATGAATCTCTAGAACAACATATAGTCTTTTCTTAAGGCATTTTATATTACTCCCTAAAGCAAAAATAAATCTCTAAGACTAGAGTCTCTTGAGACTAAGTAGACCCAAGTTGTAAATTGAATATATACTATTCTGAGTATGAATTCATAATTTTCATAATCACAAGTCATCAAATCACTTCTATACTGTAAACAAAGTTACAAATCTTCCTCCCTCTTTTAGCATGAGGCATTTGTGATAGAAGAAGAGATGCCAGTTTCTCAGTAAACCAATTCATCATTCAGAATTTCACAATATTTAGCAAGTTCTCTCACAGGGATGATAAGATTTTATGACCTTGCTCATGCAAATGTTCCCAAGGAACCTGGCAAGTTTACAAACAAGGAGATTTTACAAGAACCTTTTTTTTTGGTACTTTTCCACACACAGTAAATAATTATTATTGTTCACTTTAAAAATGTACCCAATTAAATACTTGATAGGTTTTACTATTATGTCAACACCCTCTAATAATTTAATAATTTCACAGCATCCAAATGAAAAGGGTTAAAATTTCCAATGATAGAATTTCATCATTCTCTTAACAGTATCTCTTAATGGTATCCATGGTTTCCTAAAATTCATAGTACAAGAAAACTTAAAAACACAATAATAACATCCACAATATCATGTATTTAAAACATGAAACAAAACTTCATGCCAGTCACATAACATCAGTTAGGTAGAATGCATTTCTAAATTATCTTTCACAGAAAACGATTTATTTTATCACCTTTTGTACTTTATACTAATCACAATTAAAACCTAATATGGAGTTACCCAGTAGGTAGTAATTATATTCAGTGAAAGAAATTATAATAGTAATAATAACAATAGTTAATGTTTACATAATGCTTATGATATGCCAGGCACTATTAAGCATTTCACAGTCATTATATCATAAGAACCCCAGGAGGTAGGTC